GGGGTGGCCGGAGGGGCAGCAGCAGTTGTACTGCCTGGGGTGGCTGTGCTGGGGCTATCTGGGACCAAAGCTGCAGCTGCGGAGAAGGTGAGTGGGGCTGGGTGTCTCTTGGACAACAGAAGTCCCAGGCATCGTGATATAAATGGTGGGTGTTGCTGGGGGTGCGCTGGGCTGGGGCAAAACCTCCTGCTGCCCAGGGTAAGGGGTGGCCTGGGGCAGGAGAGACACAGTCTGGTGTGCAGGGCTGCCCGAGCACTGCAGCTGGGGGAGGGTGGGCGGTAGGGGCTCACCGAGGGGCTGAGAGCACCGGGCCTGGTTGGGAACATGCAAATGGCAGTTCCTGGGGAAAGCTCCGAGGAGGGTGTCGGTGTGCACTGGGGGGGCACACAGGCGGCCCTGGCTTTGGCTGGGCTGGAGTTAGGCTGGTCCTCATGGCTGCCCGGTGCGGTGCATCTGCAGGATCGGTGACTGTAGCAAGTCTGCAGAAGGTCTCCAGGTCTCTCCCTGCCTCTGTCTCCTTCTCCACCTGCCTATCTTGTTCCCCCAACCTTTTCCTCTTTTGCCAACTCTGCCCTGTACCCCCTTCGCTACATAACTGTGTATTTTGGAGATGCATAATCTAACAGCATCAGTTCACAGCTATGCAATTTAAGTTAATGCAAAAGGAAAATCAAATACTCTTATAGTATAAGTGGTTTTGTTGGAAGTATGTAAACATATGCACACCTTTCTAGCATAAAGTGAATTACTGAGGTTTGGTCTGTATTTTTCATTTTACTCTTTAAAGTTTCACACTTCCCTTTCAGCTTTCTTGACGGAGCAATCAAGATGTTCAGCAGCAGCGCAAGGGCTGTAGCTGTTGCGGTGGATGTCGGCATAGATTGTGATTACAGACAAGTCCTGCAGCCTCACGGGGCTGTCTGCAGTGGTGCTGTAAGGAAGGGATGAGACATTTTCCAACACCTGCAAGAGCGTTTGTTTTTATGCTAACAATGCGTTCAAAATCATATGAATTAGTCTTCATATGGATTTGAAGTGTTCCGACTGCTCTGGCTCAGAAAGGATGGGCTGTGTTTGGAGCTGACCTGTTCCCCTAGAATGCTCCTGAGCTCGACTGCTGCCCTGTCCCTTACGCTGACGGAATTCCTCTGCTTCCTTCCCTGCTGGTTTTTTTTTTTATACGCTGGAATCTAATGTGGGATTTTTGCTTTGCAGGCGTGTCCTCATCAGGGTCTGGTGATGCCGGGTAGCTGCCCTGCAGCCCAGGTTTGCCTGCCGGTCGTTAAGGTTCCTGAGGGGAAGAGGCCAGCCCTGTGCCTGGGGGCTCCCCGCTCTGTCTCCAGGGGGGCCCTGCAGGTGCAGGGGTCTGGGGCTACAGGGACCTGGGACGTTGGTTGCCTAGGGAGCCTGTACCAGCACCGGAATTGAGGGGCAGCGTGGTGGCACAGAGCCTGAGTGAGAGAGGCACCATCCGCTGGCACATCCCCCTCTGCTGTGGGACAGAGGCGGGGGGGACTATAGCCATTTTGGGGGGTGTGATAAACCTTGTGTAATCAATTTGTTAATCAAACCGGTAGATGGTTAAACTATATTAACCTTTGTGACCTAGGGACTCAGCTGTTTCTATTGTAATAGTCTGTTGACTTTTGAATAAGCAACGCCTGCATTAACCGAAACAGGATGTGCAAGTCTTGATTGCCTTATAAGGAAATATTTTAGATTGTATAGCTTGTATGTAGTGCGCATGCTCTAAAGAAAACAAGTCATCAAGAGGACAACGCAGAGGAAGACTACTGCCTTCATCCCCGACCACCAAAGAGGAAGGAAAGACCCTTAGCAACACGGAGCAGAACCAAAGAAACAATCAGAGGAAGCCACTCAACCCGGAGTTGACCCCAGAACTAAAAAAACTATAGAAGAGAACTCTGGCGGGGGTGAAGCGCCCGCCATTGGTGGAGCGGAGACTCCCCGGCCGCCCAGCACTGTTTTGCCTGCTTATTACTTGCTCAAATTAAACTCTGTTTGGATACTCTAAATTAGAGTGGACTATTTGTCACTGCTGTTTATGACAGGGGGCTGCCTCCCCTTTATTTTTCTCACCTTTTTTGGTGTGGGGTGTGTACATAAGTAAGTGGAATTATTAAAGTAACGAGCTGCTGGTCAGGGCAGTTTCCCTTGTTTTGTGCCTTTTTTTGGGTGAATAAAAAGGGGAGTGAGGTGGGCAGGTCTGGGGGGGTGATGATGTCGTTTAAGGCACCCCAATGTCACTAGGGGTGTGATAATGCATCAGAGGAGCAGGTGAGTTGGGGATGGGGAGATCACAGGGGTGTCCCCTCCAGAAAAGGGGGGGGGGGCACAGCCCAAAAATGCCTGAAAATT